GATGTGTGTATGGATTGGGATAACAGTTGTATGAGCCCCTAATAAAATGTTAAAAAAAAAAAAAAAGAAAGTTATCACATGTCCCAAGGATAAAGTAATAAATCCATCACAATCTCACTGCTCTAACATACTGATAACTGTTACTTTCTGATGAATTCGTTCTTTCTTTGGTGCACTTCCTTAGTGCACTGGTACTGACCATCTGGTGCCACTATGCTGATAGGGTGCCAAGATGGAAATGACAAAAATCCCTTCTCTAGAGAAGTCTTTGGTGTCCCTGGGTGGCACAAACAGTTAAGTGTTTGACTACCAGCCAAAAGGTTGGCAGTTTGAATCCACCCAGGGGACGGCAGGGAGTAACAACGGTAACCACAGAGGAGTCCTTTGTTTAGCCTGAGAGAGAGAAAGGTAATAGAACACGATCAAGGTTGGAATAGAGACGTCAGAAAGGTGCTCTGGAAACACAGGGGAAGGTTATTCTCAGAGGCCTCAGATAGCAAGAGGCGGCCTGGCGATGCCTGGTGTTTAGAAGTGAGCATAGAGCAGACCTAAGGCCTGTGCGTGCTCTGCTCTTGGCAGGACAGTAAGTTCACAGTAAATAGAACACTGTAAAAGATCTGACGTAGCTAGACTATTACTTTAAAATTTTATCTCCCTAAAATATAATTTAACGAATTCATTTATGGGAAATCATCTCAGAAGATGTGCTTGAGCTAAGTCTAAACTGTTGGGAAGGGACTCACCCTAAAAGATTGGGTAGGGTGGGGCTGAGGGTGAATAGGGTGGGTGTGCCAGGAAGTGAGAACAACCTGGCCAAGGCCTGGCTGGGAATGGAGGCCTGTGGGGTACTGGCCAGTGGTGGGCTGGGAAGGAGGGCAGGGAGAGTCTCGGAGGGCCTACATGCACCACATAAACGGCTGGGATTATAGCTCATATGGAGCCACTGGTGGGTTTTCTGCAAGAGGTGAGAGGGTCTGCTGGCAGTTTAAGATCTTTCCAAATATGGTGAGGTGAATTTAAGAAGTTCGGAGTCTGGCAGCCGAGAGAATATTACGGTGCTGTTGCTGAAATGTGGGTGAAAGGATACCGTGGATGAAAAAAAAAAAATGTATAAATTACCAAGGGTTCACATGGGAGGGAGGGGGAAAAAAGAGGAACTGATACCAAGGGCTCAAGTAGAAAGAAAATGTTTTGGAAATGATGATGGCAACATATGTACAAATGGGCTTAATACACTTAATGGATGGATTGTTATAAGAGTTGTAAAAGCCTCCCCACCCCAATAAAATGATTTATTAAAAAATAAGATGTTGTTGTCATGATTTAGTGATGTGAGGTGATGACAATGGCAATGCATGCAAATTAATTTATTCATCCTAAAGTGCCCACCAGGTGGAAAGCCGTGTGCTGGGTGCTGTGAGTTAGGACACACACCCAAGCGGCAGTCCCTGTGCTCCAGTGGCTCAAAATCTAGATGGGGAGAGACAAACCAACAACACTGAAGCATCGTGCGGCTGTGTCCTCATGTGCCGGCAGAAGACTCCTCACTCAGCTCAAGGCAGAGGCGAGGAAGGCCGAAGGAGCCTGCTCTTCTTTGGGGAGCTGATGTTTGAACTGAGCCTGGAGGGATACCAGAGCTTAGGGAGAACCCTGCTGGGCAGGCTAAGGTAAGGGGGGCACAAGGAAGACTGTTCCCAATCAAGGAATATCAGGAGCAGAGACACGTAGGTGAGAGAAAGGAGGGGACAAAAACATCATAAATAAACACAGCACAGTTAGAAGCTTAGTGAGTTCTATAGATATATTTCAAAGGATCATTCAGGTCCTGTCAGCTGTGTGGTTTCCCAGAAGCCAGTAACTAGCTTTAAACGATCAGAATTCCTTCTTCTTCCAACAGAGACCAGTCCCTGGAGAAGGATGTCATGCTTGGTAAAGCAGAGGGGGAGCAAAAAAGAGGAAGGCCCTCAACACGATGGATTGACACAATGGCCGCAACAATGGGCTCGGACAGAACAATTGTGAGGATGGTACAGGACCAGGCAGTAGTTTGTTCTGTTATGCATAGAGCCACTGTGATTCAGAACCGACTAGGGGGTAGCTAACAACAACAACAACAACAACAACAAGACAGATATACTTCCCCCAAAGGGAAGGGGACATTGTTTCCTTCTGGAACATTCTGAGTGGTCACTGGGTCTTTCCCGTCATACACTTTCCCCATCAGGAGCTGCCAGTCACCTCCCGGCCTCGTAGCCTGCCCTTTGGGGCAGTGGTGACTAGGCTGGGCTGGGCTGGGCTGGCTCCCCGCGACCAGGGCAGAGTTTTGCTCTGTTTGACCAGGCTCCTCATGAGTTGGAGTCAGTGCAACAGCAACACAAAAAGAATCGGCACCTCCAGCATCCTCGAGGACAAATTGTGTTTACTGCGCAGTCATAATTGCCAGCAGACGTTTCTGCTTGCTTGTCCTCTTGTGGTATAAAACTAA